AAAGTACCTCCATCAAAATCAGGAATAAGAGAAGGTTGTCCACTCTTTTCATATCTATTCAATATAGTATTTGATGTTCTAGGTAGAGCAATAAGACTAAAAGAGATCAAGGGGATACAAATTAGAAAGGAAGAAGTCAAAGTGTGACTATTTGCAGATGATATGAGAAAACAACACAAATAGTTCTACCAGGGAATTCCTACAGCTGATAAGCACCTTTGTTGAAGTAATTGGATACAAGATTGACTAAAAAAACAAAACAAAACAAAACAAAACAAAACAAAAAAAAAACCCGAGTAGCCCTCTTATATACAAACAACCAAAAGGTCTGAGAAAGCAAACAGGGAAACAACATCCTTTGTAATAACTTCAAGTCCTTGAAGAAAGAAATTAGAGAAGATATCAGAAGATGGAAAGGTCTCCCAAGCTCATGGACTGGAAGGATTAACCTGGTAAAAAATGGCTGTCCTACCAAAAGCAATCTACAGATTAAATGCATTCCTATCAAATTCCAACATAATTATTTGCAGACATTGAAAGAGCAGTAGTCAACTTTAGGTGGAAAAAGAAACAAACAAACAAAAAAACCAACCCAGGATAGCTAAAACAATCCTATACAATAAAAGAACTTTCGGAGGCATCACCATCCCTGATTTTAAACTCTATTGCAGGGCTATTGTACAAAAACTTATATGATGCTGGCATAAAATTAGACAGGAAGGTCAATTGAATCAAATCAAAGACCCAAGACCCAGCTGCCCTCCATGTCACCTTCATGCCTTCAAAACCCAAATCAAGTTTCCATCTTTTATGTTCTGCTGATATAGCCTGCCCACCTTGGAGGAGAGCTTTGTCAGCTCCTGTGTGCTGACCCTGAGGAAATATTATTTCTATTGTTCCAGTAGTTCACAGAATATTTTCTTTTGTGGTGATACAGCTGCTTCTTTAGCCCCAGCATGACTAAACTAAACTAAACTAAACTAAATTAAACTAAACTAAACTAAACTAAACTAAACTAAACTAAACTAAACAGCACACACCTTAACTAAACTCTCATACCATTAGCCCCACAAAGCTCTCCTTGCTTCCCTCTGAAACCTCACAAACCTGGACCCCACTGTTCGCATTTCTCTAGGAACCTTATTTTCAGAGCTCTTCCATCAATGGCCCATGGAACACTGAGCATTCAACAGTTGTTTCAGCCCCCAAAGTGCTCCCATGTTCTTCACACCAAGTAGTCCAACACAAAACGCATACAGTTCAGGTCTGTCATAGCAACAGCCCCACCCTTGGCACTGACCTCTGCTCCTGTTTCATTTCTGTAGCTGTGGATGGAACACTCTGACCAAAAGTAAATGTGGGCAGAAAGGAGCCAGAAGGGTCCAGGTGTTTATTCTTTCTCTGCTCTTGACTCGATGCTTTCAGTTCCTGTCTTGACTTCTTCACTAATGGAACCTGACACTTTAGGCTGCAAGCTGACACTGTAGGCTGCAATCAACTTGATTGCTCACAGGAGCTGGAAAACTCACAGATGGGAATACAAATGTCCTTGTGAAGGCTGAGGCTGAGGAGCTCTGAGGTTTCTATGTGTAGAGGAGTAGGCACAGATGTAGGATCGAGGAGCATTGTTACAGAGGGGATATGCATAACTGAAACCCAGAAAGAATCTTTGGCTGCTAAACATTTCCCTGCCGGCCTCAAGAAATGTGTTGAAACAAAGCATAGTTCTAGCTCCAACAGAAACATGTGAGAGTTTGCTATCAACAAAATATCAGCGATGATGTCCTAGCTACACAGCTTCAGCTGTCTTGAATAGCATGTGTCTCTCTAGAGTAGGTTACATAAAATCGTGTAGTCACAGAACAAAAGAAATCCTAAATTGATGCAATTTTTAAATGCACTGCTGGGACTTGAGGAAGGTGGAGCATGCAGAGTGAGGGTATCTGCTACAGTGGTAGATGCTGTTTTATAATGTCGTAGCTGTGGGTTGGTGTAAGCAGCTGTTCTGTTAACTGTTCTAAGTTAATACACACCTACTGGTTTGTCTAATTGTCCATAGTTTATAATGCTGTAGCTGTTGGGCTGGTGCAAGCAACTGCCCTGCTAAGTTAATACACACCTAATGGTTTGTCTAATTGACCATAAGGATTTAGCTCCACAGAGATTTAGGGGTTGGCCATAAATGCTTCTTGAACAACACAGTTTTGGTATCACTCTGTAACATTCCATTACTCCACAATCATGATCCATCCATTTAAGGATTTTGGAGAGTCTTCGAGACATTGTTTTTTGTTTTGGTTTGTTTTGTTTTTTTCCAGAGAAATTCAGTTGATGTATAAAACCTAAAAATTCAATGGAGTAGACTTTCTATTTAGTGAGTGTTAAAAATTGTTCAAGGCATTAACTCAGCTTGGTTTTTGAACGGAGACAACTCTGGTTTCAAAAATTATCCTTTATGTGAAGCTCTACCTTGAAGAGCACGCCCACTTATGTGGCTCATCTTCTTGCCGAGTTGACATAAAATGGGCCAGCACAACTTTCTAACTCTTAGTCAGCATTCAGCATACAGCTTGCTTTCTCTTTCTACCACGTGACATATATCCCAGATTTTTTTTTCCTGCTACAAATGTGGCTACAAACTACATCCAAGTCCCTGTCCGTTTGTGGACTGGTGTGGTGACATCACTGGGACATGTCCTTAGTGAACTTACTGGAGATGTAACCTTATGGAAGATATTACCAGAGCTTGTCCTGGCTTGGCCTTGTTAATGGTATGATCCTGTGGCTCCTTCTTACTCTCCTTCCTGGCTTCCCCTGGTAAGATTAACTTCCTAACATTAAATTGACAGAACCGTTAATGAGTATTTTTTTTGATTATTAACTTTTTGGCTTGTATTATTTCATTTTTGCATTTTATTTATTTATGTTTGTGTGTGTGTGTGTGTGTGTGTGTGTGTGTGTGTGTGTGTGTGTGAGCATACATGCCAAAGTGCATGCATGTGTGTACCACCATGCTCAAGGTGAGGTCAGAGAACTCCTTGCTGGAGTCAGTTCTCTTTTTCTTCTACCATGTGGGTTCTAGTAACCAAACTCAAGTAGTCAGCCATGGCAGAAAGGACTTCATCCACTGACACTTCTCTGAGGTTCCTGAGTTACAGAAATCTTAATTTGTCTTTCCTGTTTTCTGTTGATTTCTGATGTTCTTTGAGTCTAATGCTGTTGTTCAATATGTGTAAAGGAGTAACTTCTGCTTTAATCATGCTAGTTGCTTTTTCTTTTCATTGACCAGCAACACTTTCTCTTCAACTCAAGAACAGCCACAAGTATTGGGACAACTGGATGTTCATATATAAAAGAACCACATTGGTCTTCTAGCTCACACCATATGCGGATCAGTAATGGAAATATCAATGCTGCAAGCCATGAAATTCTTGGAGAAGAACATAGTAGCAGTTTATTGTGAGCTTGAGTTTGCTCATGGGATTCTTAGCTGTGGTATGGATAAACTGAGCAACAAAAACAACATTAAATAAGAGGGATTTCATTATACAAAATCAATCTGTGTGCATCAATGGACATTATCAAGAAAGCAGAGAGAAAACCTATATAAAATATACAGAACAGGTACATCTACAAAAACAGAGAGAAGGTTGATGGTTACAGAGGCAGAGAGAAGGAAGGATAGAGAGTCACTGCTTAATGGTTATACAATGTGTTTGGGAAAGGATTAAAGATGACTATAGCATGCCACCAGCAGAATCTGAATTTCTTACCTACATATTATTGTTATTATTAAATTAATAAAGGAAATAAAATGCTAAAATGCATAATAGTAGGTGTTATACAAATATTAATAAAACTGCATTTAAATTTTTTATTTTAAATTTGTTTGTAAGTGTGTGATTCTGAGTGAAGATACATGTAGCATGTGCATACAGGAGCTATTAAAGCTGAAAGAGGTCATAGGTATCCCTGAAACTGGAGTTAGGGGAGGTGGTGAGCAGCCACGTGGGTGGTGAACAGTTTCCCTGAAATCTCTGCAAGAGCAGCAAGCTCTCCAAACTTCTGAGCCATCTCTCTAGCCACATTCTGGCACTCTAACACAGCAAAGTCACTCATGCCACCTGCAAGTGGCATAGTGTGGGCCATATGGCATAGTTAGATATAACCTTGGCCACTGACAAACAAAAGATGTAATTGTGGGACAATCTGAGATGCTGAAGGTTAACAGAGACAGCAACTACTCCAAGTAGTCCGATTAAAGTTCAAACTGCACACGTTTGGTGAGAAAACAAAATTTATTTTTAAATGGCTTGTAAGGACTTCCTAGAATTTAATAATTACAGTCAGTGCTAGAGAAACACAATAGTTTACAGAAACATGATTCCCCAAGGAGGGCACGTGTCCAGGCTACTTTTCAGGACCACCAGGCAAACTGACCATGAATAGTAAAGGCCAGCTGTTAAAGGCTCACACTATCGGCACATTTCCCCAAGCCTGAGACAACGTTGGGCACATATCTGGTGAGTAGTGGACCCCAAAGAGAGTAAATTTTAGATGTACGCAAAGGACTAGTCACCAGGAAAACTGCAGTCGCCATCATCACCCACAGAAGCATTTACTACGATGCTATGAGGGTAAGACAAATGATGGCTAGAGCTGAGCTGCCAGGAAAGCACAGTGCATACGGCTGGCACGGCTTGTCCGGGCAGCGAGAGCGGGATATGTTTAGGGTTACCTTAGAGGATTTTTGTAGGCTGTCTCATGGGACATCTTTGCCTCCTCAACACAACAAGAAGTCAAAACACTCTGTGGTCCTGTGACCTGGCAAAGAGCACATATGAATGCCAGGATAGAGAGAGCTGGATGAGGGCATCATAAGATCAGGCTGAAAAGAAGAAAGTGCCCACATCTTGCAACATGTTTTCCCATCCTCACTGTGATTTAGGAGGGTCAAGATGCTGAGAAGAGAGAACTTTTCCCCACATAATAATTGTGCCTTTATGGAGATGAGAACCTGCCACAGAACAGGAGGCTGTTGGTTTTGTTGTGCCTGATGAAGAAGAGGAAGGGGTGGTCAGCACGGAAAATGTGCACCTGACCTTCAGTTAGACAGTAACATACAGCTGATGCTCCTGCTGCTGCTGCAGCCTCTGTGCCTGCCTCATTGACCTCTACCACACTCTTGTGAACAAACTTGGACACACAGAGTCCTTCATCTAGAGACATTCCTGATAGGTCAGCCTTGTTGCTGTCAAAGACATCCACCATTCCCAAATGCTGGAACAGGGTTTTCATGTCATAATCCTCTTGCAGTTTAAATTTTGGAAGGAAAACTTTAACTTCCCTGCTCTTCATAAAGTCTGGTTTGGTCCAGGCTGTTATCTTCTCAAAAGTGAGACTGTTTTCTACCTGACAAAGCAGAATTGGAGATTTTCAGATTCACAGTGGAGGTCTTACCCAGAACCAGGGCGTTCGCTGCTCACAGTGCACTGAATCATCTTCCGCGGGGCACTGCCTCACACATGGATAGTGGGAGCATCCCACAGTCCTGCCAGCTTGTGTCTGATGGACATGGAGGTCAAGCCGCCTGGGGTAGGAAGACCCATCTGTCCTCTCCTAAACTACTTCTCAGACATCTTTTATTCTGACAGGTTTCCTTATTCAGGTGATTATGGTTTAGTGTTTGATTGCTTTTGTTCCCTTGAGCTAGACTTAGTTTTGAAGATACTAAATCATTGCTGCCAAATTAAAACTTAAAAACAGGAAAAGAAATGACTTTTTGTGAGTCACAACTGATGGGGGGGGTGTTTATCCAAGGTTGGTTTGATTGTGTTTTGTGGGTTCTTTTAGCTTGAATATGAAATTTTACCAAAAGTCTCATTTTTAAAATCCTTGTGTGGGAGGCAGCTGAAATTTTAGGCATGAGGGAATCTAGCTGGATAAAGAAACTAGTTGCTGGAGGTGTAAGTCATTCTCTGTCCATGTCCCTTCTCATTTCCCTGTTTCCTGATTACTAAAAGGTCTGTAGTCCCTGTCATATACACTTGCTACCATGGCAACCAATGATGGTGCTAAGTAATTTAAAATTAACCCACTGAAACCGTGAGGCACCATAAATCCTTCCTCCTCTAGATGATTCATGTCAGGCATTTGGTCAGTGGTGAAAAACTAGCTAACAGCCTAGAGAACAATGTCACAGTTAGGGGGCCAGATGGTGAGAGCCAGGTGAGCTGTTCTGCTTACAGAGACCCCTGAGGTCACTGCACTCTACTGCCCACCATCAGAGGATGGCTCACACAATCTGGAGAATCCTGCTGCGAGGAAAACCAAGATGTGCCATACTGGCCTGCCTGACTCTGCCTTCCCTAGCTGCATCCCTCCTTTAGGTTAAAGAACAATATTTTTTTCTGTGTACTTTATGGTGTCAGATATTAAAATAAAATAGTAACAAAGGTCATGATATAAGGTTTTATTTTCAGTGGGTGACTATTTTCTAAGCCCTGTGCTAAGTTTGTGGCCTGAGTTGCCCTCAGTTTATTCTACCAGGTATCCATATCCCAATCTAGCGATGAGGTTATACCATGGGGTAAGGTCACACAGCCCGCAACGGGAGTCTGGGACACAGCATAAATCCCAAAGCCTTGTGCCTTGTGCTTGAATCTGGGCCTGTGAGTACCAGCAACTCAATTGAAAGTTGCAAAGGTGAAAACAGGAAGGACCTCTGCAAGCTGCCCAAATAAAAATGTAAACACCAACTCAGCCACAAACTCTTTGATCTACAGTGGTACCCTGCCTGCAAGGTACGCTAGGGCAGTAGTTGCTCAGAGCTTGTGGAGTAACCAACCAATATTTGATTTGACATCAGTCCCACTCCATGAGATGAATTCTGTTCTAATGAGAAAGGACCCAGGGGATGCTAGATTCTGCTTGAAGAGATTTAGAGTGGTGAACGCTATGGACCTGTCTGCCTCACCTGGCTGAGGTCCACACCATCGTCTGGGAGCAGGATCAACATGCTCAGCTCCATACCCTTATAGGGCATCTCCAGCATTCGTGCCTGTACTTCCTTCACATAGGCGAGGTCAAACGTGTCTTCCTGACACATCATCTGCACTGGCCTTCTCTCCTTCTGAACAAACAAATCCAGAACACAAAAGACATTATTGAGAGCATTAAGTAGGTTTCCAAATGAGGTGCGGTTTAATACCAAGTGTGTTTTCAGCACTCACAAGGAAAACAATATTCATGTTTCAGTGACTTCTTTGACAATGTCTGCCTGCCTCTTCCCGATTTCATTAAAAATAAGCAGACGTGGGGCTTTCTCTTTTAAAGTTTCTATTGATGTGATAAAATACCATGACCAAAAGCAACATGGGGAGGATAGGGTTTATTTCATATCACAACTCTTGGGTCACATTCCATCACTGAGTGAAGTCAGAGGATTGTCTCAGGCAGACGCCATGGAAGGATGCTACTTAATTCACGTGTTCCTCATGGCTTTCTCAGCCAGCTCTCTTACCCAGGTCAGACCACCTGCTCAGGGTTGGCAATACCAACAGTGGGCTGGGCCCATACCAGTCATTAATCCAGACAAGTCCCAGCAGAGTTGCCTGAAGGCCAGTCTTACCAAGGCAATCCCTCAATGTAAAATCCTTCTTCTCAACTTGCTCTAGCTTGTGTCAAGCTGATGGAACAACAACCAAGAAGGGGATCAACTAGGAAAACATGATATGATATCCAGCAAAAGATATACGTCAATTTAATATTAGTATCTAGGCCCTAGTTAGGTGTAAAATAGTCCATGAAGGCTCATGTTCTTTATCCACATAGTGCTTATACTGGCATATGGTTAAACCTTTAGGATGAAGAGCCTAATGGACAAAAATTAGTGTTGGGGAGCAGGTGCCCCTGAAGGGGATATTGGCACTGCAGCCCCTTTCCTGATCCTCTCTTTTGCTTCCTGACTGCTGTGAGGTGAACGAGCCTCCACCATGCTTTTTCACTATGCTGTACTGCACCAACACAACCTGGAGTGATTGAGCCAACTGACCCAGAATGAAATTTCTGGAACCATCAACCAAAATAAAGATTTCTTCTTTTAAGTTGACTCTCTCGGATAGTTTGTTACTCTAATAGGAAAGATGACTTACTGATCACATGGAAGATTTTCGACATTTAATATGATCAACAGTTATATTGAAGGAAGCAGCATAACCAATTATAAACAACAGAGAAAGTTTTCATGAAGTAGGCTGGATATATTTTCATAGTGCTGTGAATGAGCCTGCACACAGATATGTCCTCTCAGAAAACAGCCTGGCCACAGGAGGACACATGCTCACAGGTTCACAATGGGCCACAATCTTCTAACCCACCACAAAGCAGAAAGCTGAAGGGCTCACGCACTCACAGGCTCAGGGTGGAGCCACCTACTGATAGCCCATCCCAGGGAAGGGAAATCTTAAATACAGATATCTGATACATGGAAAGACTTTAATCCATGGTACATTAAACATAAAAACATGCTACAGACCATTCATAATATAGATTAAATTTCCCAATAAAAAACCTCAATCTTAGGGCTGGAGAGTTGGCTCAGAGGTTAAGAGTGTTGGTTGATCTTCAAGAGGTCCTGAGTTCAATTCCCAGCAACCACCTGGTGCCTTACAACCATCTGTAATCAGACCTGGTGCCCTCTTTTGCTGTGCAGATATACATGCAGACAGAACTTTGTATGTATAATAAATAAATATTAAAAAATCTAATTCTTTAAAAATTTCTGCTAAATTACATTTAATAAAAACTTAATCGGGAGTTTAACTTTAATAAGGATCCAAAGTGCATGAAATTTTATTTTTATAGTGATTGGGCAAAATATTTTAATATTTACTTAAATTCAAATTATACTCTAATAACAACTGAGATCTTAATCACTCATGCTCCATATTGGAAACCTACTTAAATACTACTTAATAATGACAAATTGACCAATAATTTAAATGCTTATTTTAATTAGAAAATACATTATTATTATAATATAAATATTTGTATATTCCTTTCTACTCTGCCTCATACTCCATATATATATTAAACAACCTCAGTGTCACAGTTTTGGTGTTCTTGAACTTAAAGATAAATTAGTATCTAGAATGAGATGGAAACAATGGTTTAATGAGAAATTATCAGAATCTGTAAGAGCCACCAACAGAATGAAAAATAATAAAGGCAGCAAATCTTCTTTATTCCTATAATTTTTCTACAAAGTTTTACCTTTCATTCAGAAATGTAAGTCTCAAATGGTTTTCTGTGTTTTCCTGATTTCTTCCTTTCTCATTTGAGGCTCAATCCCAGCACCCCACACAGGATATGCCATCTCTACCACTGAACCGAGCAGCTGCACATTCATGAATAAAGATATCCCTACAATTTCTTCATGGCACAGGCATGAAATTTTGGAAACTGTTCTTTACCTTGTTAATTTTAAAGGTCATTTCACTGGTGTCTTCTTTATCAAACTGTTGATTCCACTTTCCTTTGAAATATAAGGCGTTCACAAGAACCAGCTTGGTCTCTGGATCAACTGAATCACTTGACAACAGCTCTGGAATTTTGCCTTTTGAGAAAGCAGAGACTTCCTTCAGGGTCATTTAAACACGTGTGAGACATAAGCTGATGTGGAATCTGGGCAGAGCGAAGCATCATGTTTTCAAATTTGTTGAATTTGGGTAAATACATTAAAAAAAATCAAAACAAAGCACCAACACCTGTGTTTGGCTCGAGGTCGTGCACGCTGGAGGAACAATACCAAGGTGAGGGTGCTGAGAGACTGGTAAGTCTCTCAAGGAAGGCAGGTTAGGGAAAAGGATGAGAAGCGACTCCAGGAATGAGGACAAAACAAGCAGGAAATATGAAAGGGGGTAGGAAGGGAGCACAGCCTTCCCCTCGGGTGGCTAATGTTGATTGCTATCTTGCCTGGGTCTGGAATCAGCTGAGAGTCATGTCTGTGGGCAGATCTGTAAGGACATTTCCCAGAAAGAGGAAATATTGGAGAGGATGCTCTCCAGATGTGAAGCCTGTTTCAGTCCTTGCTGGTGAGGGCATTTGGTCTGCTCATATCAGCACACCTGTCATGAGCTGACACTGGCACCCAACAGCTTTGGCCATCATGAGCATGAAGACTAGTGGCTCTGTAGAATCCTTTTGGCTTTTCATGCCAGACTGAAACTGCTGAGGTCTCCAGCCTCATAGACTGGGCAGCTACCAGATTCTGAGCTCCTCCACGTGCAGATGGTCAATGGCTGACCGCATAGTCAGCATTGAGTGTGCCAATCGACTAAATGCCCTCGATAATAGGTACTCACTCTATTCCTCTGGAGAACCCCGGCTAATATCCTAATGTTAAACACAGCATGTCATCTAGCACTTTGTAGCCATGCCCAGTTCTAACATATCACATGCAGAGACCCAACTCCAGAAAGTAGTTTGTGAAGGGAGTGTTACTATCCTATACTTTACAGGGCATTTCACTCCTCAAAGAGATAATGCAGGTGAGAGGGATGACTCCCTTCTTCTCTTTTCACTGATCAAGACAATCCTGACTAATTTCTGATATCAAGGGTGCACAAGAAGTAAGATTCCAACAAGAAAGGGGCAAGTAATTGATGAGTGTAAGAAAAGATTCCTACTCTTTACTGCCTGTCTGTTAGCAGAAATAGGAATGTACCTAGTGATACAGAGGCATCTGAATGGTTCAAATGTCAGACAATGACCTCTGTGATCTCAAGGTCAATACTGGACCAGTCATCTCTGACATAAAAACAAATAAGGTTCAATAAGTGGGAGGGGCTTTTAGATCAGTGTAGCTGAACAGCCAAGACAGAGTATCTTCATTGGAATTCAAGTCTAATTCCATCAAATGACAGTGAGATCTGAAGCAGGAAGTGTGGAAGCAGAAACAAGTGTCCTCTTTGTAGCTGAAAGTGGTAGGGGATGAAGAAACACAGACTGTATGAAGAAACAGCCCCAGCAGAACTACCCATGAATCTCCATCTCAGAGATGGCAGAGTCACATGACCAGTGAACACTGCAGGCCACTAATGTAAACAGTTAGACTGAAAATCAGGCCCATGAGTTCTCATGACATATTTATCAACCCCTCTGTTCTAGAGAAATAAACAAACAACTTTGTTTTTTAAAATCTAAGTGTCTGAGTAGAACCTCCATGAATTCACTGAGTTCTTATAGCATTTGGCCTAGCTGGTTCCCATCGCTTTGACTCTCTGAAGTAACAGTGCGATTAGTGTGCGGTGGAAAGAAGTGGAAAGTGACAGAAAGAGAAGGTTAGGAAGGAGAGAGTCATGAATGGAAAGGACAGGAATGTGGGGTGTGAAATAACTTAAGATTCTGACCTTTAGTCTTTTTGGAGACCCATGTGTTTATGTGTTTCCTGGATTCCTCTGCAGCTTTGGCAAAGGAGAGCTGCTCCATCTCAGAGTGATAGAACTCAAGACAGGACTCCTTAAAGGTCTTAGGAGAGAAAATGTTCAGGGTGGTAACATTGCAAATTAAATGTTAGCCTTCTTCCCAACCTTTGGATTACTATGGCTTTAAAAAGTCAAAAGTAATGTCAGTGTAGGTATCACTTTAAAGAACAAACAGTTATGAGAATAGATAAATAAAATTACAAATATTAAGATTTGAAATACTTCAAGATATCATTATAGAATTGCTGTCTTTGGGGAATTTTAAGTGATTGGGTCTCATTATGTAGCCTAGGCTGGCCTAGAACTCATGACCCTCATGTCTCACCCTTCTACATGCAGGTGTTACAGATGTATACCCTCATACAGGCTAGAATCTGATCCTGTTTTTTTCTCAACTTCTCTAGGCTCCATAGCAACAAGTATTTGAATACAGTCGTTATCATTCTACTGATACAACTTACTGGGAAGAATTCACAAGTATTCTCTGCAAAGAGCCTGTTGGCCATGCTGAGGGAGTACTTTTTGCCTGGCTTGTTCAGGATACTGAGAAGGGACTGGAAGCCTTGATGAATGTCTTCCTCTAGGTTCACACCAAGTGCCTGTGAAGTGAAAGAAAGAAACTTTTTCATACCAGTGATGAAACATTATAGCTGCAAATGAATTTTACAAGCTGAAGAAGAGATGGCTCAGGCACTGACATACACGAGGCTCTGGTGAAAGGTAGGTTGGCATGAAACATTTAAAAGCAGAAATTATCCCTCCTTGCCAATGAATAATTATAAAGTCTGTTGTTCTAAAACCAAGAAACATCTCAGCATCCATATTTCACACAATATCAACATCTTCTTTTGCCCATTGCATATTGAGAATCACCCTACGGTCTCCAGCATGCTAGGCAAGTGCTCTGCCACTGAGCCTTAATCACAGAACCTACCTCCATCATTAAATAAAACGAGCAAAATAAAACAAAATAATAAAAGACCAAAATAGCTTTTTATTTGAAACTAAGTTGCACATGGTGGCCTTGGATTGGGATCTTCCTGTCTCAGTCTCCTTAAGAGTTGGATTTAAAGGTCTCTGCCACCAGGCCTAGAATAAATTATTTTCGCACCCCTTTCTTTAAAAAAAAAAAAGTCTGAACAAAATTTTGAGAGTTCCTTTTATGTTTTTCCTAGGAAAACTCATTGTCAGTAAGGAAGTATCACTGGAGGAGATTCAAGCTTCTGTCCTCTTTAGCTCCTGCTCCATGAAATTGTGTGCATATTTCTACTGCCCCTTCGCAGAGTCTCTTAGACAAGTGAAAGAGGAAGTAAGGTGACAGGCAACTTACCTGAGATATCTGGGCTGCAGTCTCTCTCTTTGCCCCCAGGAGGACCATAGCTAGAGCAGAGGAGATGCTCACAGGAGAATAACATACATTTTTGGAAGGGTTGTTTTCACAGAGCGTCTTCAAAAGCTGGATGGCAAAGGTGCCATTTGCTTCTGACACAGTGTTCATGATGCAGAGTCTGGAGGCAAAAGAGAAATGGTACTTAAGGCAGTGCTGAAGGTTCCCTGACCTGACACAGGGAAATCTGGGTCTCTACTTCTGGTTGTCACTTCATGGCACATAAATCTTTTAAATTGGATTTCAGGGATTGATTCTAGATCACATTCCTTCCATTGTTAGGGTTATTAGCTAAGTGTGGTCATGGCAACAGACAAAACTAGCTCCTGTCTCATCTGCACAGGTAGAAGGAAAAGATCATCAGGGATGTATACACAGGACAAGCTGAGAGGCAGGCTCTAGTCTCCTTCCATACAGGCCAGGCACTTTCTTCTCAAGATGGCTGAGTGGAGGATAAAAAGAAGGAGGAAGAGAGGATGAATCCAGGAAGGAAACCGCCATGACCTCTGTGTCATTCAGTCTGGCTTCCACGACTCTGCATCCTTGACTCTGCTGGGAAGAATCCTCCTGAGTTATCCATGAGGCATTAGACAGTGCGCTCCACGTTTGCCAGTTGCTGCAGGAAAGACACTGAGATGCTGGATGAGACCCCTGTACAGGCTGGTGCTGTCTCCTGTGCTGTGCAGCAGGGAGCATTCCCCTGCAGTGGCTGCTCAGGACTTGCATCAGCTGCAGGACCCAGGCTGCTTTTCCCTCGAGCATGCCTCACCTCCCAGGTGAATAGACAGCTTGGCTCAGACTAGGTGACTGCTGCTGACACCTTAACCCAGTTCTGAGTGTGAATTCCATGGCCTTGCTCTCACTGCCACATGACCTTCACCACGTCACCACGTGTGTTCCAGAGTGTTTCCTTCTGTGCTAAAATGCAGAGCAGACAGCCAAGGGAGCCTCAGAACACTCCATCCCAACATCTTCCCACTCCCCAGACAGGAGGACACAGCATCCTGAGAGAGTACCTAGACCCTTTGCCTCCTCCCCTTCAGTCTCCCAGGCTCTGACAGGATGCTGGGGCTGCTTTATTTCAACGACTTCCCCTCTGGTTGGTCCTCTCATCTGACCCAGCTTACCACCCCTACATCCTGTTCATCTCTATGTCACTTTAAAGTTTCATCTGAGTCCTTGAAGTGCTGTTTATTCCACCTAGAAGGTCATCTCCCCCATCGCTGTCACTGAGTTCAAACTACTCACCCCTCCCGCCTTTATTGGGACAGGACAACCTCAGGGCCTGTGCTATCCTGTCCTACCCTGGTGCAGCTGCCCTACCCCAGGTTTGCTCATCACTCCTAAGAGTAATCCTTTCTCTTACTGATTGCTGCCTCCATCTTAGTAGATGCTCTGTGAAGGCAAAAGTGATGCCTGAAACTCCACAATCTAGTCACCATGCAGCGTGATCAGAATAAAGGTAGGTGTTAGGGTTCCCTCACCATGGGGACTTACTTTTAAAATGGGAATGAAGAGTTGGTGAAGAACTCAGAGTAGGCTAGAATCTTTTGATATTTAGAGGGCACAAATGTAAGAGATATTGTTTTGCAGATCCTTGATGAGAGGGCAGAGGTAATCAAATGGTCTTAGGTCAAGAGAAAGCTGGATGGAAGACAGTGGAAAAGGCCACAGAAACCCTGTAGCACCTATGCCTGACTCAGATGGGTCAATACAGCTCCAGCACCCCAGCCCTAAGACCAGTCTAATAGCCACTGGTATATCTGGTGAAGTCACCTCTGGGAATGCTCACCAGACACCACCTCCTCTGTCTCTTTTCCTAACTTTCAGGTCCTGGGGTTTCTGTACTTAGCCTAGAGCTTCTAAAGTTGGCCTTTCTGAGTCCCACCTTCCTGCTTTGAAGAAGCTGTACTTACCTCCACCTTTGTGGCCTTCTAGCGCAGTACTCAAGGTCTGATGTCCCTGGAGTTTAGTGGCCTCCCTACCTGGTCCAGACAGGCCCTTTATTCACTGCAGGGCGGGGACATCATGGTCAATGCCCCAGGGGGAGGTTTCTGGCCTGGCCTGAACCATCTCTGGCTTCTGGAGGGTGGAGATGTTTGAGGTTTGGACCACATCTGGGCCTCAGAGAAAGTGAAACTAGTAGGATCCTTAGGTCTCTGGCTGACCAGCAACCAAGGGAGTAGGATGGCAGGATGTCTAGAGGGCCTGGTGGCTGCTGCTGATTGAAACCTCTGTCGTGAGAGATTCAGCCATGAAGGTGTTTGCTCCAGGTGTCCTTTCAGGTCTGCACTAGCCCAGACCCACATGAGCAATCCTGGTGCTAACTTCCAGAGGACAGTTTTCCAATTGTTCAGGACTGGAGGACTCTTCCTGGCATAAGGACAGAAACAGACACTGAGACAAGTTAGTACAGGACACTGTGTCCTCAGTTCCTGGGCAGGACACACTGTATTTGCATGGCCAAAAGAAAGGAGACATCCTAAAATTTTGCATCTTCACTGTCTCATGTTCTTTAATTTTTAAAATTAAAATAATGTGTTTTATTTATGTGCGTATTTTGCCTGCACGTATGTCTGTGTAACATGTGCATGCCTTGTGCACTCAGAGGACAGAGATTTTTTACATGCTGGGGATGTACCTCTCCATGGCCTTGGGGACGGTTCCTTAGGAATTCTGTCCCAGGACAGACGCATTTGTAGCAGAGACCCTTGTCGTCAGTGTACTGATTTGTCCTTCAAAGACTACATTCAGTGACTTTGACTATACCATACTTACTGTCTGTACTTGTGGCCTTCCCTTGGGGACTTTAGGGTCCTGACAAATGCCCCGTGTCAGTGCCTGAGTCCTGTGACATCATCTGGGCCAGGTACTTAGTGACCAGTCTGCTACCTCTCTCTCTCTCTCTTGCTCTTGGTCTCTTCCGTTTCTCTGTTGGGTTACCGCCTTCTCCCACCATATAACCCCTCTCCATCCTATAAACCTCTTTCGCTTAATATCTCTTGTGTGCATCATTTAAAAAAAAAAAAATAGTAACCTCCGTGCATCGGGCCAGGAAGGGATCTCCTGGTAGCATCCAGTCTGGTCACACCAGGACCCCTTAAACCAAACCGCGATGCCTGCAACAGATTTGTGTGTTCCACCTATCACTCACCACCACTCAACCGTGCATCCCTGAAACCTACACTTCCTCTCAGCTGTTCTGCCCCTCACGTGCCCTGCTGCCACGTGCACCTGTGTCTCTGCTCTGAGCTGCTCAGACGGAACGACCTGCCATGTGCTCTGAGCACCTGGAACAAGGCAGATGCTGAACTACTCTCTCACCCACCACCCCTGCTGCGCTTAAAGCTGGGGAGAGCTGGGAAGCTGCAGCACCTGAGCTGTTAGGTGAGCAATGGCTGGGCTGCAGTGCCGTGGCCTCTCCAGGGTGCTCATCTTCCGCTGCTTGGTGCCACGTTTCCACAAGAAGCAGCTCACACCACTTGTCTTCTAACCCCTGACCCAGCAGGAAGTGACACAGCTGAAGGACCTTTAGCCTGGCTCTTGCTCATATTGCTTGAGGAAAGGTTTGGCTTGCCTGCGTGCAGCATCTGCTTCCTCTGTCCCCTCTGTTCTTCAGTAGCAGAAGGGGACTTTTGGTTTTTCTGTTTCCCCTGCTTTGGCCAACAACCAGTCTGACCATCTCCTGTCCTAACCTGTAGTTCTGGGGCCACTTTTCACTTCGGCCCTACATCACTGAAGCAGCTGGTCCATAGTTATCTTCTTTTTTTGTCCTTGTGTCCTCTCACACAGTGTCTCCTTCATGCTCTGCTTCTTCTCTCTCACTCCCCTGATTTCTCCTGAGTCCACACCCTGTCATCTTCCTCCTCATCGCTTACAAGAGGCCATGCTATTTTTCTTTTCTCAGCTAGAATTATCTGGCCTTTGTTTTCACTTTCGTTTTCTCTATGTAGTCTGTCAGAACATGGGCCTGCCCTTAAAACTGTGCTCACTCTTAAGACCACAAATCCCACAGCAATACTATTTACCATTTACTTTATCTTTCTCATCTGTTGTCATCATCATTCACTTTGTTCTTTCTGCTTGATGGCACAGGTCTTAATCCTTTTCCCGTCTAAATTACTTTTTGGATTCAAATGTTTCCTTCCATGTTGCTGCTCAGGGCTTAAAACCTACCCAAGTGTAGTAGCTGCCCACCCCCACCAAAGCTCTTTCTTTTCCCTGTTTTTTTATGCATGGGTCTGACTTTAGGGGGGGCCCCCAATGTGATAAGACAAAAGCATGGGTGACGAGGCTGTTAAGACACACTTTTTTCTGTAAATAGGGTTTCTTGTAAGATTCTAAGGAAGCTGCAAGTTTTCATCTAGAAAAGAAGAATTACTATGTATGCTTAGGCATTAAGCCTTATTGCTGTCTTACCATTCTTCTTTTAAATATCCCAGCATAGAATGAGTATTGTGTGCGTGTCACAATCCTTCCCAAAAAGTGTTAACTGGGCTGGCAAGAGTCTTAATCAGAATTGGGGGTTAAAGGGCTTCTTTTCTTTCCTGAATCTCCTTAATTCTCTTGGTATTTCTTCGCTATTTCAAGACAGCATTTTTCAGTCATTTTTCTTCTGTGCCTGATTGAAGACATTAATCACAATATTGTCTATAATAAGCTTTTATTCAATTGGTCAGTTTCTTTCATTTAATATTGATTTTACTATGGGCATTCATGTATAAATTTATGATCCCCCTGCTCCAGCTTCCCAAGGGCTGGAGTTTTCCGGTGGTCAGAGATTGAACTTTCTCAGCCATCTCACCGACACCTTACATTCAATTTTTTACCTATAAAAATGTTAAAACATAGAAGATTATTGTTGTAACCACTACTGCAGTCTGCTACACCACACACACACACGATGATGAGAATGTAAGTCACACAGCTTCAGCAATATTTTTAAACCATGTAATAGACTGTAGGCTTCCTTGAGTTCTCAGAGGAAGGATCCCACGGAGATCTCCAATTTAAACTTTGTCTCAGCATAATGTCTGGCTGTGTGTATCTGCAACTGCTCTCATATGCTGCCGGAGGAAGCCTCTTTGATGATGACTGGCTAAAGCGTGAGTCCTAGGTCTTTGGCCTATCCAGTCTCTGGTTCCTGTCTATCCAGGAGGAGTCAGACATGGGTTCCTTCTTGGAGAGTAAAACCCCTACTGCTTTCTAGTTAGTTTTGCCTGGTATGGCTATTATTATTATTATTATTATTATTATTATTATTATTATTATTAAGGAAATTCTAAATAAATCTAATTTTAAATATTATAACTGATTTAAACTCACTCAGTTTAGAGGTCACACAGCAGGACAAAACTTCAGTACTCTCTAAATAGCTTTTCTGTAGAGAA